AGCTTCATCCTATGCACTGAAAGGTTGCTGGTTCGATTACCAGTCAGGGCACATATCTGGGTTGTGGATTCAATCCCTGGTTGGGGCATGTACAAAAGGCAACCAATTGATGTTTCTCTCTCACATTGATGTTTCTCTCTCTCTCTCTCTCTCTCTCTCTCTCTCTCTCTCTCTCTCTCTCCCCCTCCCCCAACCATGTCCTCAGGTGAGAATTTAAAAATGAAGAAAGGAAGGAAGGACAAAGGATTTGAAGACATGAGGCATAAAGACCCTAAGTAGGAGAAGGAGATACAGAGTACAGATTTATTCAACCAAAGAGTTAATCATTAATACCTGCTCTGTGCCAGGCACTGTGCTGAATGGTGAGCAAGACAGACATAGCTGGCTCCCAAGTGCACAGAGCTTATAGCAAAGTGAAAAGGTGAGCCTTAGACATGTAATATGGTTACATCTATGGATGGGAGAGATGTGAGGACACAGCTAAATGTATGTAAAGAGGGCAAAAAGTTGGTGGAATTCTCATTTTATTCTGTTTTATTTGAAGATGGCTGTGGATTCTGTTAAGATAAGCAAGGAGATGGTGAGGAAATCTGCTTGAAAAAAGAGGCAGTTGTTTGCCCTATCTGGTTTGGCTCAGTAGATAGTTGGCCTGTGGACTGAAGGATCTCAGGTTCGATTCCAGTCAAGGGCAGATGCCCAGGTTGTAGGCTCCATCACCAGTGAGGGGTGTGCAGGAAGCAACTGATCAATGATTTTCTCTCATCATTGATGTTTCTATCTCTCTCTCCCTCTCCCTTCCTCTCTGAAATCAATAAGAATATATACACACATATATGTGTATTTTTAAAGAGGTAGTTTTAGAAATAACTAGTTGTAGGGCCTGGGAGACAGTGATTTTCCAAGCTTCGAGATCCTGAATTTATTAAAGAGTCAATCTATGGGACTGTGTGATTTTCTCCAGAAGACTCCAGGGAGTAGGAACAGCATCATTTAGACTTTGAAATAACTCTCAGATACACCCATTTTATTCCAATGGCAACATCTTTGTCTGACTGTCTCTCTCCCCTCATCCTTGAACTTTCCTATCTTCTTGGTAGAAAGTCTCCCTGTCTTCTTGCTACAATACAGCATTTTGACAAGTAACAAACACCCTTATTCAAGAACTTAAAATAACATCTTATTCCTATCAAATTATTTTAACCTACTCACCTTGGCATATCAAGCCTTCCATAATTTTTCTCTTTCTTCCCTTTTCCTCTACTTCTAAATAGTATTTTACACATCGGTCAGACAGGACCTTTTTGCTACCCATGCTTCAGGCTCTATGCTCACCAAATAGTTTTTGCTTATGTTTCTCTTTGGAATATTTTCTCTTTCCTTTTGCACCAACTCAACACTCATCAAGGTTTTCCCAAGATGTATTCATCATCTTTCTCTGTAGGCAATCACACAAAAAAATTTATTACCGTATTTTTTGGACCATAAGACGCACTTTCCCCCCCCCAGAAGTGGGGGGAAAAAGTCCCTGCGTCTTATGGTTCAAATACAGCCTACACATATACTTTAAAAAAAAAGTTTTTTTACTTGCCCGGCTCTGTGTGGTCTCTGTGTGCTTGCCCGGCTCTAAAATGGTTCTAAATGCTGCTGTTTACTTTACAGGGTTGATTACATGTGTTTATGACTGTGATGTTGGGTTTTAATGCACATAAAATATTTTAGGACACTATTTGTTTCAGAATCTTTTTTTCTTCATTTCCCTTCTCTAAAAACTGGTGCGTCTTATGGTCCGGAGCGTCTTATGGTCCGAAAAATACGGTATCTTTTCTTTAATTTAGGAATTATATTCAGTGCAACTTTTGGGTATTTTTTTTAAGACTTGGTATTGCTTTTTTTTATTCATTTAGTACATGTAAGTCTTTTTTTAAAAAAATACATTTTTATTGATTTCAGAGAGGCAAGAAGAGGGAGAGATAGAAACATTAATAATGAGAACCATTGATTGGCTGCCTCTTGCACACCCCACACTGGGGATTGAGCCCACAACCCGGGGTGTCCTGACCAGGAATTGAACCGTGACCTCCTGGTTCATAGGTCGATACTCAATCACTGAGCCATGCCAGCCAGGCTTACTGTAAGTTTTGTTTGTATTATTGTTATTGTTAATCCTCACTGGAGGATATTTTTTAAAAATATATTTTATTAAATTTTTTACAGAGGAAGGGAGAGGGATAGAGAGCTAGAAGCATCAATGAGAGAGAAACATTGATCAGCTGCCTCCTGCACATCCCCCACAACCAAGGTACATGCCCTTGACTATAATCAAACCTGTGACCCTTGAGTCTGAAGGCTGACACTCTATCCACTGAGCTAAACCGGTCAGGGCTGGAGGATATTTTTCCCCATTGCTTTTCAGAGAGAATGGAAGGGAGAAGGGGTTGGGGGAGGAGAGAGAGAGAGAGGGAGAAAGAGAGAGAGAGAGAGAGAGAGGAACATCCATGTGTGAGAGAGACATTGATTAGTTGCCTTCTGCATGTGCCCTGACCAGAGCTGGGGATTGAACCTGCAACCCAGGTACATGCCCTTGACTGGGAATCAAACCTGAGAATGACACTAACCACTGAGCACCACTGACCAGGTTGGTAAGTCTTGTTTTAATTCAAATAGATGACCATTTTCTTAAAGACCAGGACCACATCCTAAGATGAATTGTACCTGAACTAAGTACTTCATATTATTGGATTGAATTGAAATTTTAGTTGGGCTATAAAACTTTAAATGAGTTACACCTTGGTCCCATTCATTAATCTACTTAATGAGCACATATTTGAGTACTTAAGCCCTGTGCTGGAATCTGGGGAGATTTCAACCTCTCTATTTTTTTCAATTTTTAAAAAAATTATATTTTATTGATTTTTTACAGAGAGGAAGAGTGAGAGATAGAGAGTTAGAAACATCCATCAGCTGCCTCCTGCACACTCCCCATTGGGGATGTGCCTGCAACCAAGGTACATGCTTTTGACCAGAATTGAACCTGGGACCCTTCAGTTCTCAGGTGGACACTCTATCCACTGAGCCAGACTGATTAGGGCTCAACCTCTATATTTTGATGTGTCTTTTCCCCAAAACCTCTTTCCAGGCTTTAAAACAGCTCCACTGGCCACTGAATTGCCTTAGACCCAAGACCCTTGGCATTTAACCTTGCATATGTATTTTTCCATTATTTCTGATTCTGTTTATCTCACTGGTTTACCTGGCCTTCCATCTGTGTCTCTGTTTCTGTGTTGTGTGTGGGTGTGAGTGTATGTATGTTTATGTCTCTTGTAACTTCATGGTGGGGTTCAGCCCAGTTGGTGATGCTTTGCACCCTGATTTCAGTCCAGTAAAGACTGGCTAGATGTAGCAAACTCTTCTCTCCTTCAGTCCAGGGAAGAGGATGTGGGGGCGTGGAGGAAGGATGTGCTCATTCAGATAAAACTACACAAGAATGCCAATGTCTCCCAGGCTACCCACTATCCTGGGAATTTTGAGAACGTTTGTCTTGTGTCCCGGCCCCCACGCAGGGGATAATCTTAGCAGGCAATACCAAGGTGGAAGCCAATCAGTGCTGTCTGAAGTAGCCTATTCTTCCTTCCCACTGACAGTCCCAGAATCAAAGGGTCGTTTGTTTGTTTATTTATTTAATTTTAAACAGAGAAAGAGAGGAAATGGGGAGAGAGAGAGAAGGAGAGAGACATCAATTTGTTGCTCCACTTATTTTTGCATTCATTGGTTGATTCTTGTTTAAAATATATATATTTAAATATATTTTTAATATCAGAGAGAGAGAACGCGAGAGAGATCAATGATGAGAATCACTGATCGGTTGCCTTTTGCATATCCCCCACTGGGATCAAGTCCGCAACCTGGGCATGTGCCCTTGGCCTGAATTGAACCTGGGACCCTTTAGTCTGCAGGCCAATACTCTATCCACTGACCCAAACCGGCTAGGGTCATTGGTTGATTCATGTATGTTCCCCAACGGGAAATCAAACCCACAGCCTAGGCATACCAGGAGGATGCTCTGGTTAGAGCATCCCAGCCAGGGCCAGAATCAAAGGATCTTTATGGAAGGTGGAGATGGGGAAGGAGCAATTTTCAGTTTTGCTGTGTGGAGGGCGTCCAGGGTTCTGAGGGAAGATGGAACATAACTAGCCCTGTATTTGGGGACAGTGAGGCTATGTGGAATTGGGACAGCTGGCTACTTTCCCTCTGATTCTCTGAGTCAGTTTGTCCTGATCTCCATATCTCCCTTTTGGCTTTAGCCTGACTCATCTGTTTCCTTCCATCAACTAGTAGCCTGACTACCAGCCACTCTGGTATCCTGGCTCCTTAGGTCCTGGCTTAATAGTAGTTGCCCAATCTAGTCCTGCTGTGGCAGTAGAGGTGGGAGGGGAGGAGATGATGGGGACTAGGAAGACCTCCTTCCTTTTCCAGGCCTCAAGCCTTTAGTGCAGGCAGGCCTCTCTTATTGAGGTCAGGGGGAACCAGAGGAGGCACATGGGGAAAAATAAAAGGGTTGAGGTAAAAAGGCCAGAGAAGACGAACAGAAAGTTGGGGGCAGAGTGGGCGGCGGGAGACTCCCCAGGGAGCAGAGTAGCCAAAGCCATTGTAGAGGAAAGGAGGGGAGGGAGGGTCCCGCCGGCTATGACAGCCTAGCCCAGCTGAGGTCCTTGAGTTTCCTGTCTCCTCCCAGCTGCTCTTTCTTTCCAGGGCCTCTCCGTGTTAAAACGTGTGACCCCCTCCTCTGTCAGGCTCTCAGCAGTAGTCCGGGGTCTCTTCAGCTGGAGCTTGGCTTTGGTCTCTAGCTCAGCTCCCGGCCTGGCCTCTCAGTGGGCGGTGCTCCAGGCGCCCCGCCCCCGAGGACTATTGGTGGAAAGGCGTCGAGGAGGCGGGGTCTAGCCAGCCTGCGAGAGCCGGATTAGTTGCGGCGACCTCGAGGCGGGCCGGAGGCGGGTCCGACCGGGAGGCGGGAGGGGCTGCTGGGGCCCGGCCCAGACCTCCCGGCGGTCGCATTGTTTTCCTCCGCGGACCCGCGGCGGGATTGGGGGCTGCGACTGGGCTTGCGGGTCTGGACAGCGCCCGGGAACCCAGATTCAAGCTCCATCCAACTCGTCCGCTCATCACCCGTCGCCAGAGCCCAACCACGGATTGCGAAGTCGTCGCGGTGCGGGGCCGCTGCCCGCCCGCTGCCCTCTCGATCCCGCTAGCTCGGATCTCGGAGCAAGTACCCGGAGCTGGGGCAGGGCTGCAGGGAGGCGGGGAGGACTGGGCGCGGCAGGCTGGAGCCAAGATTCCTAAGTGCGAGGGGCCGGGGAGATGCCCGCGCGCGGTGTGCCTGGCTGGTGGGGAGGGTCGATGGAGTTGGGGTGCGCCGAGGGGGCTGTAGCCGAGCGCGTGACTGTGCTGTAGGCGCGGGGTCTGGGCGCCTCTGCCGACCGAGCTTCTCTGAGTCTTGTCTCCTGAATTGGGGAGCGCGAAGATGGATGATTTGAGGCGCGCACTGTGCGGAGGGTGGAAAACCTGGTCCCTGCCGCCCCATCGGGGAAACTAAGGCTCCGAGACCCTCATAAAACCAGATCCTCTTGATGCCCCTGCGAGGATGGGAAGGGGAGGGCGCGTCGTTTCGGACTTTGGTGTCACGGCTGCACCTCTGTCCTTGGGCTTGCACCTCCCAAGGGGTTGGCTCCGGCACAGTGTCAGGGAATGGGGTCCTCAAGAAACATCAGTCCCAGAGTCCATCTCCTTCGAGCACCCCTCTCTGTCCAGGGCTTTGTTAGACCTAGGTCTCCCGAGGAGGAGAGACGAGCTGGCGACCCGGGTCGGCGCTGGCCTCGGACCCGCCCTCGTCGGTTCCCAGCCTCTGACACTGTTTCCCTGGCCTCGGAGACCCGCCTCTGCCCCCCCTCCCCACATCCCCCCCCCTCCCCCCGCTTCCATCCCTACTTGGTCTGCGCTTGCAGGCCCCTCCAGCCCCTCCTCCCGCTAACGTGGCTCTGGGACCCGGTCCCGGCCCAGACTCTGCTACCCGCCCCTCTCGGAGCCTCGGATCCAGTGAGGGGGAGACACGTCGAGCCCCTGGCCCCGGGCCCACCCGATGCGAGGCTACAGACACCTGGACTATCCTTGTTGGGGGCTGGGTGGAAGGGAGGGTAGGTGTGAGCTGGGGGTTGAGAGCTAAAGGTGGGGGAAATGTCTTGGAGGTGCGAACGCGTCTGTTCCAAGAGGCTCCTCAGCGCGCCCCCTCTCCCCCAGAGGAAGGTGGACTGGGGCGGGCGACCAGCCGGAGGGCTTCCTGCTATTGTCCCCAGCCCGGTCTCCCCTTCTGCATCGCGTCCCCAGCCCCCGCTAGACTCTGGTTTTGACCTCCACCACTCCCCAGAGGTGGCTTCGGAGCCAGGAGCGGAGAGAAAGGCTGTTTCCTCTTTCCAGCAAGGGAAGGGGAGGGGGAGAAAAGGCGGGCAGGCCTCCCCTGTTTGTTTCAGAGGGGGTATGCAGCAGCTGGGATTGGTCCCAGCAGGATAAGCCTGTCCCCAGGCTGCTCAGATGCTGCTCCCCCAAAACAGCTAAGGAAAGCCCTCTTAAAGCTATATCATAGTTAAGTCTACTAGGGGCCCATGCAAAGGCCAACCAAGTGTTTTTAGAGGCTGGACCTAGGTGGAGGATGGGGTGGAAGGAGATTGGGTGAGAGGGAGGCAAGGCCTGCTCACTCAGGAAGAAGGAAAGGGCCAGGGATGACTGATATCAACATTTTGCCTAGAAATGAAGAGCATGTAAATGAGATGCAAATTAGCCTCTATTGTCCCCAGCTAGGGCGCTTTTGCTAAGAAAGCTGCTGGATTCTGAGGGTTTTAACGTGGGAGTGGTCATCATGCCCAACAAACTCTCCCAGTTACCTCTTTTCCAAGTCTGGTCCTGCAGTTTCAGCAGTTTCTGGCTAAGAGCCAGCCCCAGCCCCTGCCCTCACATCTCTTGGCATGAAGCAGCCAGCACCTTCCTAACCGAGCTCAATGTCAACACACACACACACACACACACACACACACACACACACACACACGGCACATCTCTATCCTAGTCTCACTGGGCTTCTGAATATTCACATTTACTTTTAAGGGATGTGGTAAGGAGGTGTAGTAATGGTCTATTCCCTCCTGTGTCCCTCCTTCCATCAGGTCAAAGGTCTTCAATCCTCAAACCCCAACAGCAGTCATCACCCAGGTAAGGAAAGGGCAGCAGATCCTGAGGGCGGGGATAGAAGCTGGCATGGCCTGGGAGCAGGGAGTGAGTCTGGATGTTCTCCCCACTTGCCACAGATCAAAGTTGTTTCCTGGGTGAAGATACTCGTTGCCCAGGGCAACTTGGGGGGGGGGGCGGTGGCAGGAGGAGAAGGATAGGAGACAATCTGTGTCCCTCCTCTTCCCCTGGGAGTCCCAGCATCCAGAAACGTGGTGGAAGTGAGGGAGAGGGAGGCTTGGCTTTGTAGCGCCAGAGGGTTGTTAGCTAGCTGACTGCTCTGCCTCCGGGGAGGGGGGGTCATCGTTAGGTATTACCTCCCCTTCCCCTCCTCTAGCTCTCTTGAGACCCCATCTGACGTCAGTCTCCCCATCAGTGACGCTGGAGTGGGGGTGGGTACACTTGGGTCCTGGCTTCAAGAGTGGAATTGTTGGGGAGATGGAATGGGCTGGGCTTGGAAGCCCAGGGTCTCTTCTCTAGGGGGCTTGGCAGGATGGGCAACCGAGGACTGGTAAAAGGTAGCTGTCTGTTCACTAAAAGAAAGGATTCTCACCCTTTCTGACCTGATTGCTGGGACCTGCTCAGACCCTTCAATTTCAGGGCAAGGCAGGGAGTTGGTGTACACCTCCCACTGTGGGTCCCAGCCAGAGGGGGGAGGCTGATGGGTAGGAAGGAGGGTTGTCTCACCATCCCTCCCACCCTGCCCTTCTTTTCCTGGACTATGATTGCCTGCCTGTCATTGAATTATTTATATTTCCATTTCGAGGTAGCCCGAAGAGGGAAGAAGAGAAAGAGGGACATATGCAGCCATTACTCCTCACCAGTGTAGCCCCTTCTCTCCCTGGCTCCTCATAGGGGGTGGGCCTGCACTTCCCCCTCCCCCCATTAAGTATATAGAAGCACTGGTTCTTAGGAGCCGGGGAGGGAGCAGGGGGATAGAGAGGCTGGGAAGGGGCACAGTGGTCGGGCAGACAGCTGCAGCCAGAGCTAAATTTAGCCTCAGATCTGGCTTTGATGCAGATTCATTTTTGGCGAAGACAGCAGCAACTCCCCTCCCCCCCTACCCCTCCCCCCTCTCCCCCCAGCTTCTCCCTAGCAATGGGGAGGGCCCCTGAAGCATGAGTTTAGACCAGGACAATGACCCTTAGGCTGCCTTCCCCAACTGTGTTCTTCCTCAACCCTAAAGAGGACAGTGGCTATCTCACAGCTGCCTCTGCCTGGGCTCAGTGCCTGTGGTGCTTCCACGGTGCCCTGGGGGTCTGAAATGTAGGGGGAGTCAGACTGCCTCCTCCCAGTGCCAAGGAGTCACTATTTATAATTTTAAGGCTTCGTGTCTAATTATAGCTGAGAAGGGGTTAGCAAGAGGGGGGCCAGGAGGTGTCACCTATTGAATGTCCCAGGCCCAGTCTGGAAAGGGGAGGATAGGCTGAGTGAGAAGGCTGGGAAGGGGAGCAGGTGTGTCCTGTCCTTACCTGGGGTCATGCAGGCAGGCCTCACACCAGCCAGTCTGGGCCAGTTGGAGGGTAGGGCCTTGAGTGACAGTGACAGTTGGTTGGACTACAGCAGTGCCAGAGAGAAAGTTCTTTTCCCCATGCCCTAGGCTAGGGTCTTCTGGGGATACACCAGGGGAGGAGCCTGCCTGCTTCAAGGGTGGAGATAATTTGGCCCCTCCCCCCACTTCTGTGTGTCCTCTTTCAGGGCCAGCATATGGGTGAGGGGGCACCCCCTGGGGCCTGAGCTGCCCTGCACAGGATGCTCCGTGCCCCCTACTTCATGCCCTTGCTGCTACTGCTGCTGCTGCTGCTGCTCTCACTTCCCCACACCCAGGCCACCTTTCCCCGGGATCCCCTCCCTCTGCTGATCTCTGACCTGCAAGGTGAGTGCCCAGTACCACATTCTTGGGGTGTGAGCTTAGAAATTAGACATTGAGCCGAAACTGGTTTGGCTCAGTGGATAGAGCGTCGGCCTGCGGACTGAAAGGTCCCAGGTTCGATTCCGGTCAAGGGCATGTACCTTGGTTGCACATCCCCAGTAAATGGTGTGCAAAAGGCAGCTGATCGATGATTCTCTCTCATCGATGTTTCTAACTCTCTGTCCCTCTTCCTCTCTGTGAAAAATCAATAAAATATATATATTAAAAAAAAAAAAAAAGAAATTAGACATTGAGGCCCGGCCGGCATAGCTCAGTGGTTGAGTGTTGACCTGTGAACCTGGAGATTATAGTTTGATTCCCAGTCAAGCCATAGGCCCAGGCTGCAGACTAGATCCCCAGTGTGGGGCGTGCAGAAGGCAGCCAATCCATGATTCTCTCTCATCATTGATGTTTCTATTTCTCTCTCCCTTCCTCTCTGAACTCAATAAAAAATAAAAAATAAAAAAAATTAAACACTTGAGACCTATGTGTGGGAGGCAAGGTGCAGGAAGGCTCCCAGCCTCAATGGAGCTCAGAGCCTGACCGGCAAAGGGGAGCACTTCTCATCCCTGGGCCAACTTTCTTAACTTTGAGGCAGCATCGTATGGTGGTTAAGAACATGACTCTCAGCGAGGCCAAGGTTGCTCACTAGCTATGTGACTTTGGTCTAGTACTTTACCCTCTCTTTGCCTCAGACTCCTCACCTGCATGTGCAGATAATAGTATTCCACCTCATAGAGTTATTTAGGGATTAAATTAGGTAATGCATGTAAAGGGCAAGGGCTGTCTGGCACAAAGTGAATGCTTTCTATGTGTTTACCATTATCATTAGCTACAAAAGGAAGGGTGGGGACTAGTTCAGTGGTTCCCAGCACCTTTCACGCCCCTCTCCACCACTTGTACCAACACTATTACTAAGCTCATGTCCTACAGTGAGGGAAACCATAAACCCACTTTTTCTGAGAATTTTATCTATTTTCAGGTTCCTGTTAATATGTAGGATTTAGAGTAATTTTAAGGATGAAGGAACTGCACTCGGATTATTGGGAGTAGGGGATAGATAAGATAGCAACCACTTATCTGTGCCAGATGAAGTTCTCAGCACTGTGCAATGTTCAACCATCTACCCCTACACTCTAGACTCCCTTTGAGTACTGATGACTGGTTTCCATGCTCAGGCCAGGTGGGTGCTGGTTGGTTAGCTGAGGTAGAAACCTTGGAGGGCTGAGGTGGCCTGTGAATGGCCTTGAGAGGAGGGTGCAAAGAGAGGGCTGGGAGAAATGAGGTGAGTAAAAGCTCCAGAATGGACAGTGTACATTGTGGGCACAAAAGAGAATCACTAGCCCTAAGGCAGCACCAAGAGGGGACTGGGCTCTGCTCTGGAGTCCGACAGCTGAATCCAGGTACCTGCTGCTTCCAGGCTAAATGAGCTATGCAAATTCTGTAATGGCTGTAAGCCTCAAGCTGCTAATCTGTAAAATGGGACCACCACTAGTACCGACCTCATAGGGTTGTTGTATTGTGACAATGTAGTTGTAGCACAGAGCTTGGGAGAGGTTAAGTGCTCAGTTAGCTGGTATTATTTTTCTTAATAGGTTACTTAATTAATACCTCACAACTCATCTCACATATCCACTGTGCCCATGGCTGTGCTTCCTCTGGTTGGAGAGGCTATTGAGGGAGTGTGTGGCTCTTGGCTGGCTCTCAGCACCACCTCTGTGCCTTCCAGGTACTTCCCCATTATCCTGGTTCCGGGGCCTGGAGGAAGATGCTGTGGTTGCAGAACTTGGGCTGGACTTCCAGAAATTCCTAACTTTGAACCGGACCTTGCTAGTGGCTGCCCGGTAAACTAGCAGCGGCACGGTTGTGGGGCTGACACACAATCTCCTGGGACATGGACATGCTGGGACCCAGAACACAAATGCCAAGGCATGGAGGAAGGGGAGGGTAGAGAGCAGAGGTCCGCACTGCTTGTCCCTGAGCAGTGGACAAGGGTAGGACTAAGAAGCTCAGGTGGGTGCCTTGGCCTGTCTCTGATCCCTCTTTGCCTGTCTCCTCAGGGATCATGTTTTCTCCTTCGATCTACAAGCTCAAGAAGAAGGGGAGGGACTGGTGCCCAACAAGGTGAGGGGCTGGTTGGGAGGAGGTGCACTCAGAGATGAGGCTGGGGAAGGTCTAAATGGGAGTCAAGGAGGTGGGAAAAAAAATCCAAAAGGTGGGGTCCAGGTTGCCCCATAATTTTCCCTCTCCCACTTCTCCCTTAGTATCTAACATGGAGGAGCCAAGACATGAAGAACTGCGCTGTGCGGGGGAAGCTGACGGTGAGGAGTGGAAGGAGAATGTTGAGGGGAGGAGATTACCCTGCCTCCAGCCTCTGTCCAAGCAGTCTTGTCCTGTGCCCAATTTCCTACCCACTCCTCTCATCTCAGGACCCAGAGGAAAATGTGCAGGAAAGAGAATTAATGGTTTTTAGCTTCTCTCACATGCTTCACAAAAAAGAAAAGTGAGGCTCTGCTAACGGACTTGCTCAAGGCCACAGGGCTGGTGAACAGCTTAGCTGCAACTTTACCCCACATTGTTCTGACTGTTCAAGGGGCATGGACTTACTTCCTGTAACACACACACACACACACACACACACACACCCTAGTCCCAGCGACCCTGTCACTGACGTAGAGTTTTGTGTTCTCTAGGACGAGTGCTACAACTACATTCGTGTTCTCGTTCCCTGGGACTCGCAGACACTCCTTGCTTGTGGAACGAACTCATTCAGCCCCGTGTGCCGCAGCTATGGGGTACAAAGGCGAGAGTGCGGGGGTCAGGATGGGTAGGGGAGGAAAACTCAAGTGGACAGTTTGTTGCGGACAGACCAGTGGGGGTGGGGGAATGGGAGTGCTCACGGTTCAGGGGTCCAGTCCAGAAGGGGTCAGGGAAGGAAGCAAGGGGACATGAGGAAGTAGGCTATGCAGCCTGACTCTAAGACCCCAAGGGTTCCAAGAACCTGTTCCCTCTGTTTCCAGATAACTTCGCTGCAGCAGGAGGGTGAAGAGCTGAGTGGGCAGGCTCGATGCCCCTTTGATGCCACACAGTCCAACGTAGCTGTCTTTGCAGGTGAGCACCTGGGCACTGAGAAGCAGGCATGTGGCTGAAGCCCTTCTCCCAATTTGGCCTTCCTTCATGCTCCTGAATGGAGAGCTGAGCTAGAGGCCAGAGTCAGACTGAGGGAGGGGTGTAGGAGGCCCAAGAAGAGCCAGAAAGCAGATCCCCTGACTCCACCCCCCCCTTCCCTCCAGAGGGCAGCCTGTATTCGGCCACAGCTGCGGATTTCCAGGCCAGTGATGCTGTAGTTTACAGAAGCCTTGGCCCTCAGCCCCCACTCCGCTCAGCCAAGTACGACTCCAAGTGGCTCCGAGGTCAGGGCGGGCCTGGGGGCGGGAGGCTGCTCTTGGGGAGGAGGTGCCTGGGGAGGACTGGCAGGGAGCAGGCAGTGTCCATGTGTGCAGAGGGGAGAGGCTGTGTGGGGCCAGGAGTTTCTGAGCAGGTACCGATACTCTTCCATACCCTGTCCTGTCACCCCCCTCAGAGCCACACTTTGTCCATGCCTTGGAGCATGGAGACCATGTCTACTTCTTCTTCCGAGAGGTCTCTGTGGAGGACACCCGGCTGGGAAGGGTAAGGAGGTGGTGGGCACCTGGGGTGGTTAGCTGAGGGTTCTGCTGGATCCTGTGAAGGCAGTCCGAGTCAGGGGACAGCTCCTGACCCCGATCTCCATAATGCAATCCCCTAGACCAGTGGTTCTCAACCTTCCTAGTGCCTCGACCCTTTCATACAGTTCCCCAGGTTGTGGTGACCCCCAACCATAAAATTATTTTCGTTGCTACTTCATAACTGTAATTTTGCTACTGTTATGAATTGTAACGTAAATATCTGTGTTTTCCGATGGTCTTAGGCGACCTCTGTGAAAGGGTCCTTCGACCCCCAAAGGGGTCGCAACCCACAGGTTGAGAACTGCTGCCCTCGACTCTGGGCCCCCAAGTTGGAGTAACCCTAGCCCTCCGCCCCCATATCCTGCTGTGTCCCTCATCCTTAACCAGAATGACCTCGTACAGCATACCCTTCCTCTGCTCCATCCCTAACATTTGTGTCCTGGTGCTCTAACTCACTGCATTCCTCTCACCTCGCTGGCCCTGAGGTTGTCTCTCACTGTTCTCCCCTTGTTCCCGACTTTCCTCTTCAGGTACAGTTCTCCCGTGTGGCCCGTGTGTGTAAGCGTGACATGGGCGGCTCACCTCGGGCCTTGGACCGCCATTGGACATCCTTCCTGAAGCTTCGCCTCAACTGCTCTGTCCCTGGGGATGCTGCCTTCTATTTTGACGTCTTACAGGCCTTGACGGGGCCTGTGAACTTGTATGGCCGCCCTGCTCTCTTTGGGGTCTTCAGCACCCAGACCAATAGGTTGGTATTAGGCTAACCAATGTGGCCCCGTCTGTCCCCTGCCCAACCAGCATCCAAGCTCCTCTTTCAAAGTTTACTGATGGGGATGTTCCATTCGAAGCCAGTTTTGCCCATCTTTCTTCTCCTAGCATGGCAGCCAGGGGCACCCCACCCTCTCAGGCGCTGTCCCCCGATATGGCGCATGAAGGGTAGCTGCCATGTCTTACCTGGGGGGAGCCGCGCTGTCTCTTCTAACATCTCTGCCGCGTCCTTTTCTGGCTTCCTCAGCATCCCTGGCTCTGCAGTCTGTGCCTTCTACCTGGATGATATTGAACGTGGGTTTGAGGGCAAGTTCAAGGAGCAGAGGAGTTCGGATGGGGCCTGGACCCCTGTGTCTGAGGACAGGGTCCCCACCCCCAGGTACTCAGGATGGGGGTGGGTTTTGTGGGTCAGAGTCAAGCAGTGTCTGCTCTCAAAATGAGGTTGTAAGGAAAAGGGAAAAGGTGTCCAGTGCTTGGGAGGAGGCTGTGGTGTGCTGGCAGTGGGACTGGGAAGGGAAGCAGTAGTGTGAGTGTGTGGAGGGGAAGCAAGGGCTACCCATCCTGTTTAGGAGCAGTGTGTGTGTGGGGAGCGCAGAGCCTAAGTCCCAGCTCCCTGCCCTAAGGCTGTCCCTTCCCATTGCCCACCAGGCCAGGATCCTGTGCAGGAGTGGGTGTAGCTGCCTTATTCCCCTCTTCTCGAGATCTCCCTGATGATGTCCTGACTTTCATCAAGGCTCACCCACTGCTGGACCCCACTGTGCCACCTGCCACCCACCAGCCTCTCCTTACTCTCACCAGCAGGTATGGGGGCTAAAAAAACACTGCCCACTGCCCTCCCTTCTCAGTCACTCTCCTTCTCTGACCCCACAAGGTAAATCACAGTGGTGGGAGGAAGTGCCCATGAAAGTGGAAGGGAAGGGAAACCCTGGGTTGGGGAAGGACCCATGAGTGGGTACCAGGACACATGGACTGTCCTTGAAGCACCAAGCTTCCACTAGCCGGGTTGCCCTGACCTAAGGCTTATTCCTCCAGGGCCCTACTGACCCAGGTAGCTGTGGATGGCACGGCTGGTCCCTATAGTAACACCACAGTCCTGTTCCTTGGCTCCAATGATGGAACAGTGCTGAAGGTGCTGCCCCCAGGGGGACCATCTGGAGGACGGGAGCCCATCCTGTTGGAAGAGATCAATGCCTACAGCCCCTCCCGGTGAGGACATAGGCCTTTGACTGGCGGGCCGCCTGCAGAACAGGAATGGGATGTGAGATGGTAGATGGGGATGTGGGGATGGGGTAGGGGCTCCAGCATTGGCTTCTATAGGGCATAGAGAGATGGGCTTGGTGAGAAGCTGGACAGTGTGGTGGGGCAGGGGGCACTCAGGAACATCGGCTCCATGAGCCATACTTAGTTGCTTGTGCCTCTCACCACCTTCAGGGGGAAAAGAACCTCACCAGGCCTTCCCCTTCTTTGATTCCTTCTGGCCTCACCCTAGGTGCACTGGGAAGCGGGCGGCCCAAACAGCACAGCAGGTGATAGGACTGGAGCTGGACACTGAAGGTCACCGGCTCTTTGTGGCTTTTTCTGGCTGCATCATCTACCTCCCTCTCAGCCGGTGTGCCCGGCATGGGGCCTGTCGCAGGTGAGAGGGGCCTGAGGCTGAGCCCTGCCTGGATGGGCTCCCTGGGCCAGCAGAAACTCTGGAATGCAGGCATTGGGGGAAATATAGGGGGTGGCAGGTGGGGAGATGCCTCAAGCATTCTGCGGGAACACAGTAACTAGGGTCTGGAACAGGCTTTGGGCTGGATAGGATGGGAATATTGGGCTAAAAGCCTTCTGTAGGCCAGGGTGACAGAGAAGAGGCAGGTGAATGGAATGTGATTAGAATGGAAAGGTCCCAGCCTCACATGACTCAGTTTTCCCTAGGAGCTGTTTGGCTTCTCGGGACCCATACTGTGGATGGCATAGCTCCAGAGGCTGTGTGGACATCAGGGGACCTCATGGGTAAGTGAGGGGTTCCTGGATCTCCTACGGAGAAAGTTCCACACCATAAGACAGGAAGCTGAGGCCCAGGGTGGGGGATGGGTGCAAGATGTGTAACTGCACTGAGTCATCTCCATGTCCTCCTAGGACTGATGTGGATCCAGCTGGGAACCAGGAATCCATGGAGCATGATGACTGCCAAGGTAAACAGAAGGGGAGGCTGCAGCTCCAGCCATGGTTGCACATGGCTCTGAGGGCCACAGTTACTGTGCAGACATGGCTTTTGTCTTTCTCCCCTTCTGTGGCACAGTCATCCCTATTCATGAAGCTTCCCCCTGCTCCCATCTCTGCCCCCTGTCCCTTCGCAGACGGAGCTATCGGGAGTCAGTCTGGCACAGGGAACTCTGCTTATGGTGAGTCTTGTCCCAACTTCACTTCCCTCACTCATCCCACACTCATTCACGTCTGTGCCCATGGCAGCAGCAGACCAGCACCCTGGACACCCCGAGTCATAGGACAGAGTTAGCATCTTCCAAACCCTCAGCAAATAGCTCGGTGGTGCTTAATAGTTTTGAACACACAAATGAATGTCCTGCATGGTGAGCCCTTCCCCTCAGCCAAAGGAAAACAGAGACTGGGGTTCTGGGCCTTTGGGTTCCAATGGGGGTGGGGGTGGGAGGGAGAGCACTGCTCAATGGGTGTCAGAGGTGGAGAGCAGGAGCCTCACCGGCTCTGACCTGGTCTCTGTCACCAGTGCTTCTGGGTCCTGGCCCTTCCCCTGAGACCCCCAGCCCCCCCAGTGAAGCCCACCCCCGGCCCCAGTCTTCCACTCTTGGAGCTCACACTCAGGGTAAGGGGGCCGGCTGGGAGGGACAGGAGTGACGTGCGGGCTGCTGGTTCTTGAAGAATTCTAAGCCCTTTACCGGCCTGTGTTTGGTGCTCACTAATGCCTGTTTGGAGCCTCCCCTCCCCAAAGGTGGGCATCCCAGCCCACCTCCTTCTGCTGGGGCAAGTTTGGCAGTTGCTCTTGTCTTGGCTTCTGGGGCCAGATCTGGGAATGGGGACTCCCCAGACCCAAATTCTAGCTTGTGTTTGAGGGGTGGTGTGCGTGGGGAAGGGTCAAAAAAAGCGTTGGAGTGAAGCTGAACAGCAGCAGGAGTGATGAAACTTTGCAACTTGCCATCCAGCCCTCCTGCTTTCGCTAAGCCTCCCTCCTCCCTGTTGATTGGCAGGCGTGCGCAGCGACCTCCCCGCAGCCTCAGCCTCCCGCTCTGTCCCCATCCCGCTGCTCCTGGCCTGTGTGGCCGCAGCCTTCGCCCTGGGCGCCTTAGTCTCCGGCCTTCTGGTCTCCTGCGCTTGTCGCCGCGCCCACCACCGACACCGGAGCAAGGACATGGAGACCCCGGGGCTCCCGCGCCCCCTCTCCCTCCGCAGCTTGGCCCGGTTGCACGGGCCGGGCCCAGAGCCGCCGCCGCCGCCCTCCAAGGACGGAGAGCCCGCGCTGGCGCCCCAGCTCTACACCACGTTCCTGCCTCCTCCCGATGCCGGCTCCCCCCCGGACCTGGCCTGCCTGCCCACCCCGGAGTCCACGCCCGAGCTGCCCGTCAAGCACCTCCGCGGCTCCGGGGGCCCCTGGGAGTGGAACCGGAACGGGAACAACGCCGCCACCGAGGCCCCGGGCCCCGCGCGGGGGAGCGCGGCCGGCGGCGGCGGTGGCTCCGCGCCCCGCGTGCTGGTGAGGCCGCCGCCGCGCGGCTGCCCGGGGCAGGCGGTGGAGGTGACCACCCTGGAGGAACTGCTGCGCTACCTGCACGCCCCGCAGCCGGCCCGCAGGGGCGCGGAGCCGCCCGGCCCCCCGGCCCCGCGGGCGCTGCCCCTCGAGCCCGCCCCGGCCCCCGCCCCGCCCCGCCCTGCTGGCCGGCGCCGGCCTTCTGGCCCGGGAGTGCGCCCCCCCGCTGCGGCTGGACGTGCCCCCCGACGGGCAGTGCCCGGGGCCCCCCGGCCGGCCGGTCCCCGCCCCCCGCCTGGGGGTGGGCGGCAGCCGCAGGTTGCCCTTCTCCGCCCCCCGGGCGCCCCCCACCCTGCTCACGCGCGTCCCCTCGGGCGGCCCTTCCCGGTACTCCGGGAGGCACCTGTACCCGGGCCGCGCCGAGGGCTACCGGGGCCGCACCCTGAAGCGAGTGGACATGGCGAAGCCCCGGCCGCCCCCGAAGCTGCCCCTGGCCGCGCCCCCCGCCCCGCTGGCCGTCCCCGGCGGCGGCCATTTCAACTTGTAAAGGAAGCCGGTCTCCAAGGACAGGGGACCCTCTCCCTCCGGCCCCGCGCCGCCCGCCTCGGGCTTATTTATTGACTGTCTTCCCCTCGGTCCCCTCAGGAGTGGGAGCCGGAAGCTTGCCCCTCAGTGAGCCAGCCTTTTGGAGGGGCCGGGCACCCCACTTCCCCCTCAGCCAAGCTGCCTTAACTCGCCCCCTGGGCTTCCTCCCCGGACTGGGCCCCGGGCGGGCCGCAGGCGGACGGACGGACGGACGGTCGGGGCTGGGGCCACGCTCGTTGTGTACTGACCCTCGGACCTCCTGGGAGGTGCCTCCTACCGTGTAGGAGCCCTCGCTCCCCAATACAGCCGTGTCCCCCCAATACAGTCGAGTCCCCGAACCGCCGCCTCATTCACGCGCGGGGCGGGGCGGGGCGGGGCGGGCGGGGATCGGTCGGCTCCCTCGCGCCTTCGCCCTGAATCTTCGGCCTCCCGAGTAATTGCATGGCTGCGGTCCCACCGGGGTTAATCAGGAGGCTTCCTCAAGATTAGCCAGCACCTCCCTCACCAAGCTCAATGTCACACACAGACACACACGCGGTGTGGAGAGACACCCGGGCCCAGGAGACCCAAGGCCAAGGGTAGGCGGGCTTGGGGAGGGCAGGAGGAGCCCGCTTCTGGGCTGAGGTAAGAGGGCCTTTTCCGTAGCCTGTCTCGAGGGGCGGGGAAGGTTATTTTTGGAGCAAGAAAAAAAAATAAGTGATTTAACTTTCACCTCAGGAAATCTTGTCTTAAAGAGAATTTCAAGGCTCTAGGTTGCATGAGGGGGACGGACGCTGCAAAAAAACAGCAAAGGACTCGGTCCTGCTGGAGTCCCGGGTCAGCACGGCTGGTCCCTGAGGGCTGCCCAGCGCGGAGGTCGTCGTGCGCAAGCGCGGCATCTCGCGACGCCTGGTGTTCCTCCGGCTGGGACTGGCTGTAGATACCTGTCAGTTACCGCCGGGCACCAATGGGAGGGCGAACAGGACCGCATGCCCCGCCCACTACCTCGCGCTGAGGCCACGGAAGGCCTCGCGCCAGCTGCGGCTACTTTTGCGGATTTATGGGTCGTGTTTTTCGCCCGCGCGTGGCCGGAGTATCCGCCCGGTTGGAGCCTTAGGCCGCTCCCCACCCCACCCCCCGTAGCTAGAGCCACCTGGAGGCCGGATCAAGCCCTGCAGCTAAGGTCGCTCCCTGGCTCGCTGCCTTCAGGCATTTATGCCTTTCTGCGGGAAACCACTAAGAACAACTTGAAGAACCCTGGGTTTGTTCTACTTTGTGACCTGACAAGTCAAAATTCTGCCCTAAGTGGTTTTCCTCGTGTAAAAAAAAACGGGGTTGTCTGAGAGGCTCAAGTACGATAATGTCTAAAATCTTTCTAAAGGAGAAAGCATGGTAGCTTAGCTGTGAGGTGGTTTCTTCCCAACTCAGGCATAGGCTGTTCCTCATTTTTGATCTACTGAGTCATGTTTCCCCTCCAGCCCTTACAACCTTCATTTACAGACTTTCCCCTCAAGGTTCTGAAATGCCTTTAAACAGGTCCTTGGGCCACATTCGGTTGTCCTCCAAAGTGCACACTGTCTGGAGCTCGTTGCACCAGGTTGGAGAGGGCCTTAGGTCTGTCTTCCCTTCACTAGATGCCTTTCTTAAACCGAGATACTTTGAAACCACTGCTAGATGGTGGAGACCAAGGACCGGGCGGAGAATCTTTCAATCACCTGATTTCACTATCCTCTTCAAACCAAGGTGTTAGCTCAGCGGAAGTGGCTCAGTGGTTGAGCCTGGACCTAAAACCAGGAGGTCACTGGTCAGGGCTGCTGCTGCTCCACTGGGGGCTCAGGAGGCAGCCAATCAATGATTCTCATCATTGATGCTTCTACCTCCCTCTTCCTCTCCATTCCTCTCTGATATATATATATATATATATATATATATATATATATATATATATATATATATATATATATATATATAAAAATCCAAGGTGTTAAAGCCAGATCAAAGGGGGAAAAAATGTAAGGCTGCATGCATGCCTTTGAGGGACAAGCCTCACAAATACTTTCGTTCTTGCCCTGAAGATGGCCCCAGGAAAAGGGGTAAATGATCCTTTATTTAAATATAGACCCAAAAGAGAAGTACAATAGAAATTTAACATGTGCCTGCAGGCAGCAGCACTTTATAGGTTAAAGTCCTGGCTTCAGTTTAGTTGTGAAGGGCATTCACTTATTATCTACAATATAAAGAATGGAGAATTATCTGAGGGTGCCTGAAGTGGACTTGCAGAACCTTCTCAAAGCTACTGGAAGCAACTATGTTGCAGAGAACAACAGTCCTTGGACTCCGCCAGTTAATATTTTTGTGTGTGACCTTGGTCGTACAACTGCCATATCAAAGCCTCAATTTCTTTTGGGTTTGTAAAGCAGCATATAAACATATGGTGGGTTTAAATTAAGTGCTTTGTGGAAATGGGTATTTGCCCCAAATAGACTACTACCAAGTATGCAATTCATTAATACTCATGATATACTTCATCCTGACAGACAGTAGTAAGTAATCAAAGGGATGAGCCGAAACCGGTTTGGCTCAGTGGATAGAGCGTCGGTCTGTGGACTGAAGGGTCCCAGGTTCGATTCTGGTCAAGGGCATGTACATTGGTTGCAGGCATATCCCCAGTAGGATATGTGCAGGAGGCAGCTGGTTGATGCTTCTCTCTCATCGACGTTTCTAGCTATCTATCCCTCTCCCTTCCTTTCTGTGAAAAATCAATAAAAAAATATAATTAAAAAAATTAATTAAAGGGATGAATTCAAAGAAAGTATTATCACTGACAGTAGAGGGATAAACATGACCCCAATTAAGGAACTGGCTGACAGCCTTTTTTTTAAATTAGGATATTAACTCAAACTTTGCCTTTAGAAAAACTAGAATGTGCCAAAAGGAGGATAAAGTTGTCATCCTGAGGGATTACTAAGCTGATTTCTCAGAGGTACCCTGGGAGGTTATGGAGAAACCAGGGCCCCAACAGGCAGAGTTCATCAGCTTGTGGAAGACTTTGGGGACCTGAACCACAGAAGGTTCCACAGTCACAAAGCTTGAAAAGCTGTTAAGCATCTTGGGTTCTTTGGGACCTAAGTCACAGGGGTCCAAGCTATTATTGTCTCTCAGATTTATGTCTCCTTGAGGCCACTACCCCACACTTGGGAACCACACAGGTATGAGTCACTCTCTGCTACTTAATTCAGCAGCTGACCCTTTAGTATTGTTGACTCATAAAAATGTAAGGTTATTTGTATGAGAGAGCAGTTCAAGTACATGGATGAAAAATATGGAGCCTATGAATCAAAAGATCACCTATGTTTACCAGGTATATTAGGGTGCAAACAGGAAATAGGTGGTATTCTCTAAATAATGAAGGGCTGTTTTTAATTTACTGGAGAGAGAGAGAGAGAGAGAGAGACAGAGAGAGAAACATTGATGTGAGAAAGACTTATGGGATGCCTCATGTATGCACCCTTATGTGCCCTGCATGGGGAAGTAAACTCTCTACCTTCTGGTGTATCGGATGACACTCGAACGAACTGAGCCACACCAGCCATGGCATGAAGGGCTATTTTTTAAAAATGTGGGCAAGGGATGGATGGGTCAGTAACTGGGGGCTAGTAACAGCCTTAGGCCTGAAAAGACAAAGAAGGGTAGTGGTTACTAGGACCTGGAAGGAGAGATTGCCTTGAGAAAAGCAGTGACCTTTAATCAAAGGCCCAGGTGACGCCTGGGAAGTGGTGTCTTTCCCTCCCAGCCTTCTGCCGGAGTTCTCTATTGGCTGAATCCACCATGAAGACAAAGTGCAGGGAGCCCATTAATGAAATCCATGCAGGTTAGACTCCAAGGATAGAGAATAAAGTACAGGAGAGAGGAGAGGAATCTGGGAGGCATGAGAAGATACCCAGCACACCTAGAGATGAAGACCTCATTCATTCCCCAAAGAAAGGTTATCTTTGATTGCCCTCGCTCAAGTACTCCTGGCCAGCAACTTTATGGAGATGGCTCCTGAATTAGTTTTGGAACAAAATTTACTTTGGGGAGTTTGAAAGAGAGGCAGCTTGGAAATTTACATTTCCTCAAGCTCTACACTGCAACTGGAGATGAATTAAGCTGCCCAAAGTCAAGTAAGACAGTACTCTGATTAAAGGACAAATGACAGAGGAAAGGACACTACTGAGACAGCATATGTATCTATATACTGAAGATAATACATAACTCGCAAAATAGATATGTTTGTGTGTATGCAAAGTGCCTAACTCATTGTCAGACATGTAGCAAAAGCTTAAAGCATGGAAGTTGTTATTTCTATTGGCCTCCTTTTTTTTTTTTTTTTAATATATTTTATTGATTTTTTACAGAGAGGAAGGGAGAGAGATAGAGTTAGAACCGTGGATGATAGAGAAACATCGACCAGCTGCCTCTTGCACGCCCCCTACTGGGGATATGCCGGCAACCAATGTACATGCCCTTGATCGGAATCGAACCTGGGACCTTTCAGTCCGCAGACCCACGCTCTACCACTGAGCCAAACCGGCTTCGGCTGGCCTCTTTTTATATATATATAAAATTCCAACCTGGTGGAGGGGAGCAATGGAGGGGGGGGAAAATGAGGAACATTTGTAATAATATGAATAAAGATTTATTTTAAAAAAATAAATAAATAAAATTCCAGAGAGGAAGGGAGAGGGAGAGATAGAAACATCAATGATGAGAATCACTGATTGGCTGCCTCCTGAAGGCCCCCTATGGGATTGAGACCAGCAACCCAAGCAGTAATGAACCATAACCTCCTGGTTCAACATTCAAACACTGAGCCATGCTGGTCGGGCTATCGGCCTCTCTTTTAAACATCAATTTCCTTTACAATAAGACTTTCTTAAACTTCAGGACTAGTAGTTATAGTCTCTACTAACTTATTCTGTAAGACATCTTGCACAAATCTTACATAGGGATAGTTATCACTAACAATCACATGAAAGAACTCTAGGTTCCTATCCAATTCACTTTTAACTCTCCGTATCCCTGATGATTTATCTCACTAGGATTTTAATTCAACAAGACTTTTAGTTTTTTTTCTCAAGGCTCAAGTCCCTGCTCTTTTCCTCTCAGCAAAGACTGCATATACATTTATGGGCTAGCTGCCAGACCAGACATACCTTATAAATAATATGTACACTATATGTGTTGCCTATATGTTATTTACCAAAAATCAATTATCTATACACAGCCTATTCCGTGGTAGGTGTTCCCTAAATATTAACTTTGAAAGCTTGCTTAGAGATTCTAATTGTTGAACATAGATGCTTATAAATCCTTGACTTTGGTATTACCCTCCTGTGTTTAAGAAAGGCAACCTTATTGCCAATGGAGCAGCTATTGCAAGCACTAGTGTACACTGGATAGGGACACTCATTGTGCCAGCCAGATGGGTCTATTCAGCCCTGGCTATCAATGGGATTTGTGCCACAACC